TTTTTTTGAACCTTTCTATTTCTTCTTGTACGCATCCGTTACTTGGCGGAGTTCCTGACTGTAACGATCGATTTTAGAATTGGCTTCTGTGAGCTGTTTCTTCAGGTCCAAAATCTCCAGCTGATTATCTAGTTTAGTGAATTCTCTAAGCTCATTGAAAGATTCTTCCAGTTCTTTGCGTTGTCTTTTAAGTACACTTGCACGTCTTCAGCTATCACAGATTCTGCTTCGGCTAGTGCCTCCTCATATGTCTCTTCTTGAATAGGCCTCATTTCACGTCCGGATGATTCTTCTTTGGGTGGATAATTTTTCAATGGCATATACCCTAGGGATGCTTTTTTAGGTGATACGTTGCCATAGTGTCCAAAAGTATGACGTCTTAATTTTTTTTCGGTGTTGATGCCGAGGCTCCCATTTGAAAGCGCCCGACAATAGATACTTCCGTTTTTAGTCTTTCTATCTCGAGCAGATACTCTTGTTTGCTTTTATCCATCTCTTTTAGCTTAATTGCCTGCTTTTTGAGCCGAGTTTCGAGATCGCGAGTCAAGTTCTGATATCCTTGAAGTGTCTCTTCTGTAGCTGACAAGATGTTTACTTTCGTTTTATTTTTGACAGTTTTAGTGCTTTGGGCGAATTCTGGTGTAGATCTAGTCTCCTCCTCTGCAGCTAAAGTAACATTCCCGATAATCAATGATTTGGCATTACCGCCAAGAGCCTGTGAGAGCAGTCTAGTCAATTTCGAATCGCGATAACTGATAAACTCCTTCCCCTCGCTTAGTTGCCTTATCACATTTCCTAATACTGACAAAGATTTGTTTATGTTAGCCCCCTCTTTAAGACGCTCACCAGCAGCTTTCGTCAGAGAAACTCTCTCAGAACCAGCTAAGTCCATTAAGTTAAGGTAGCTTATATGTACAGGTCCATCTTTCTGATTGGCATCTTTCGACTCCAGAATAATCCGGAAAATCGTGTGTGATCGAGATGACCTCTCATTCATGCGAGTAGCTGCAACTCGTCTGATCTTATTGCCCTGCATCATGTTCTCCATAACTTTATCAACATTGTCTACGACAGCTTCCCTTGCATCAAGCAGCACATTTCCTTTGATATCTTCTCATAGTTAAACCCTGATTGCTCTTATCCAGGAGGTCATTGATCTTTTCATTGTAGATTTCAATATAACTGCATCTAATCAAGTACCTCTTATCAACCTGGTCTGCCACATGCTGGAATAACTGATTGGATACTAATTGGAAAAGCCCAGGATCTGTTTTATTGCCCAAAATGGTGTGTGTTTTGCCAGAAGATGTTTGGCCATATGCAAATATTGTGGCATTGAAACCTTCCATGAAGGAATCGACTAAAGGTTTTACTACAGATCCATATACATCTGAATTTGTACATTCCTGATTAAATACATGGTCGAATATATAAACCTCTCCATGGCGACTACTTTCATCGGCTTCCCATATGCAGTTTACTCTTACGTTCCAAAGACGCTCTAGACCATCGGCTACTTCGCGGTGGATCATTGGTCTGATCTTGTGGCTACTTTAATATTGTTGGAAGTCATTTTGGAAGCTTGAACTGAAATTTAATTAGAACTAGGGCTATTTCACGGGTTATAAAGAGGGGCAGATGTATCAGGTTGATACATTCTTTTTTTCCTCCTTTCCAGTATAGAAGATTTTTTTCTCTTGTAGGCTATGAATGCGGTCCGATAGTTTAGTAGAGCTACATTTACAGGGTGACTCAAAATCAAAGAAGAAACAGAATTGTTAAATTTCATATAGACTGTTATTGTTATTACAAAAAGAAGTTGAAGCAGCAGCAAATTCTCACAAATCTATAGATCCATCACTTTCAGCACCCGATTTTTCAACTTGAAAAATGCAGCTCGGTGAAGAATCACAAGGTAACTGTTGTCTATTCAGACAATACTCTTCTAAAAGCAACGCGAAGTTACCTAGTGCCTTACATGAATCGCCTTCATAATTCTTCATTATGTCAATGGAAAACTGAAATTGTTGATTATTACAGTTTTTAATGCTTCAAATAAACAGATGGTGTTCGTGTTGGAAATCCCACGTCTAATCTCGCAAAACAGGTTATCCACCGGATCTTACTATCAACATCTGAAATGCCATTACTGTTTTTAGCCATGTGTACAACAGGTTTGTACGCATAAGACACTCTTACATGAAAACTGTTTATTGTCTAAAAACGAAAATACCCCATTGAAGATGAGTAATGCAATAAATATAATCCTCGAAACTTGAACTGTAATATGAACATAAAAAAACTAACAAAATGGGCCATTTAACAACATATTTGGTGTTGATATTCTACAACAAAAACAAATACTTTCTCGTATAAGGAAACATACAATAATTAACATTTATCACTTTTCACGAAACAATGTAAGTGCGCTGTGACTTTACATACTTATTACAGATTGTAGAACATTTTTTTCATTGTGTATTGTCATGTAACACCTACGTCGTTTTTTTTCTTTAACAACTGCATCAGGATCGAGAACTCTGGGCTGAGAAGTAGACGGCTTACTTTATTCGTCGTTGGTAATTTAGGATTCTTTGCATGGCTGAACGAAGCTCCCTAGGAAGTCTTGGATCTGATAAACGTCCTCTCATACGAAGTTAAATTAGAGTTTGCCTCAGGGGAACAATAAAATTTCGTCGCCTAATGGAACTTTCAGTCCCAGACTGAAAAAAAAAGGAATTTACAGAAGCTGGTTGGATACCAAATAGCACAAGGCCATCTTCTCGTTCTCTAACCAGTATTGTAATTTACACACTTCCGATCTAATGCATTACCCCCCGCCTTCATAGTGTTATAAAAATAATATAGGATCTTATCAGGTTTCTTTGATTCCTCTACTATTTTGTTATCATGCTGCATAGATTGCTATACGAGAACATGTGTATTTGGTTTTGGAAGATACTACTCTAAGGCTGTACAACATAAACTTAGAAGTACCTGGCTGTGTTTCCTTCTTATTTGGAACTACATGTTGGGGTACTTGTTACTTATTTTTACGCTTCCTGCCGACATAGGTCAGTTGGTTGATGCGCAATTCTACATGTAATTCTACTGACGTGAACCAGTCATCTGCTGTGATATTTCTGTTCGTATAGACGAAAGCATTGAGCAGGTAGTGGTGAGTCTTTGCATCATCAGTCCATACTTATTCGGTTTAGTTTTCTTGTAGGCACAGGAAGGACATCGGCCCACGAGCATCTCGTATTTTGTAGGGGACTCACCCGAAATATAACAATTTCGACAGTTCTCTATGAGTGTCTCGAAAATTTCACGTATTTGGAGAAATTTATCGGCATTTCTCGAGTCACAGGGTTATTATTTTCCAAATTGGTTGCCACGGACTTTAGTTCAGGTAAATGCGTAATAATCGACCAGTTGCAGGCGCTCGTTTTGACCAATTGTACATGTTTTTTCCATAGGCATAGCGAGGTCGCCCATAGGAAGTTGTTCAGGTTGATCGATAGCAGCGTCGTCCTCGGCGTAGTCTATAGTGTATTGTTCATCCGTCAACAACGAAAAAATCCATTGTGAAGGAAGTTCAAATCGTACACGCAACTGACATCCTCGGATCAAATTTGACCGCAAAGTCAACAAACCAACAATTGTGATGTTTAAATTAAACTGTGGTTTGAGGTATACGTGCTCATACCGTATGAGAAGTCACGGGACCCCCACCACATAACTGAGAAAGCTCGAATCATCCGACGATATCATTAAAGGATTTATTTCTATATTCTTGAACGAATCTATAAAATCAAAGTGGCTGGGGTTTCAATTTACATAGCTCTTGTATGGTCTTGTTTGCTGATCAACATTATATGATTTCTAGACATGTTCAATCTGTGCAGCTTCTTCACTTTCATATAATGTCTATAAGAGCATTTCATCCATTTTTGAATAAATGTGGTTCATCACAAATTGTAGAAAATACTCTGAGCATTGACTATAAAATGGAATGGACTTGATCCGTGAGTATTCTCCGAGCAAATCGTCTCAAGTGCGTTTTTGATCGTGCGCCCTGATTAGAAATAGTGCCAACAACGCACAAACCAAGTCGCTGCTAGTTGTGATCACATGAACATAATCGTTTTCAGATCTGGGATTCTTGTATCTTTTACTAGATAATAAGCCACAACCTGCTTATAATTTTTACGAATCCCTCTTATCATGGAAGTAAGTAGGCATGATTTCTGATAAATCACTTTTTCAGAGTTCTAGTTGATTTTGTTACCTCAGAATTCAAGATTTATTAGCTGAAAATTGTACACTGTGAGCACTGGGATCAGCCCTAAACTTTGTCCAAACCCTGCAATAATCGTAAACACTAAACAAGGGTAGACATATTTCTAGTTTAACTGCCTGAAGATTTTCTCTATGGTTTATACGTAACTCTCCACCTATTATCTCATTTTTGTACATGTTCTGGGAGAACTCAACTTGCTCCCTATAAAATGCAACGTCTTCCTGCACAGGTGGTTCTGGTTAAGTGCCAGCCTGCTTCGGGTTTGTAATTAGTTGTTGCAATTTTCTGATTTCGTCGTCCTTTTTCATAATCCAGATTTCGTTTTGGCATTCCAGTTCAGCCATTTGATCCTGAAGCTCTTTTATAGTAGAATCATTATGGCATCGTATCTGAGATTTTAAATGAGTGGTTGACCTCACGTTGGTTACTCTCGTCCATCAGACTCTTTACGTCATTTCTCAGTTTAGATTCAGTTCTTTTAGGAAGCCATTTCATCTTGCAGTTCAGCAATGTGTGACATCGTTACATCAGTTTGTGCAGCACACTTAAAGAATTTTGCATATCTTCGTACTCAGCGTCAAGCATAGCTTCTAAGTCTGCAACCTTCTTTTTTGACTCAATATTTTGAGCTTCAAGAGATGGTTTAGGGCTCTCTGATCTTCCTAGGTTCTTCAGTTGAGTACGCAGCATCTCTATTTCTGACTCGTATGTTTTTAGTCTTTTTATTATTTTTTTCCAGAAAATCGAGTCTGTATTGCAAGTCGATGAAATTCTTGCGCTTTTTGAGAATTTTTTTGAACTCTTTCTATTCTTCGTTGTACGCATCCGTTACTTGGCGGAGTTCCTGACTGTAACGATCGAATTTAGAATTGGCTTCTGTGAGCTGTTTCTTCAGGTCCAAAATCTCCAGCTGATTATCTAGTTTAGTGAATTCTCTAAGCTCATTGAAAGATTCTTCCAGTTCTTTGAGTTGTCTTTTAAGTACACTTGCACGTCTTCAGCTATCACAGATTCTGCTTCGGCTAGTGCCTCCTCATATGTCTCTTCTTGAATAGGCCTCATTTCACGTCCGGATGATTCTTCTTTGGGTGGATAATTTTTCAATGGCATATACCCTAGGGATGCTTTTTTAGGTGATACGTTGCCATAGTGTCCAAAAGTATGACGTCTTAATGTTTTTTTCGGTGTTGATGCCGAGGCTCCCATTTGAAAGCGCCCGACAATAGATACTTCCGTTTTTAGTCTTTCTATCTCGAGCAGATACTCTTGTTTGCTTTTATCCATCTCTTTTAGCTTAATTGCCTGCTTTTTGAGCCGAGTTTCGAGATCGCGAGTCAAGTTCTGATATCCTTGAAGTGTCTCTTCTGTAGCTGACAAGATGTTTACTTTCGTTTTATTTTTGACAGTTTTTAGTGCTTTGGGCGAATTCTGGTGTAGATCTAGTCTCCTCCTCTGCAGCTAAAGTAACATTCCCGATAATCAATGATTTGGCATTACCGCCAAGAGCCTGTGAGAGCAGTCTAGTCAATTTCGAATCGCGATAACTGATAAACTCCTTCCCCTCGCTTAGTTGCCTTATCACATTTCCTAATACTGACAAAGATTTGTTTATGTTAGCCCCCTCTTTAAGACGCTCACCAGCAGCTTTCGTCAGAGAAACTCTCTCAGAACCAGCTAAGTCCATTAAGTTAAGGTAGCTTATATGTACAGGTCCATCTTTCTGATTGGCATCTTTCGACTCCAGAATAATCCGGAAAATCGTGTGTGATCGAGATGACCTCTCATTCATGCGAGTAGCTGCAACTCGTCTGATCTTATTGCCCTGCATCATGTTCTCCATAACTTTATCAACATTGTCTACGACAGCTTCCCTTGCATCAAGCAGCACATTTCCTTTGATATCTTCTCTTATAGTTAAACCCTGATTGCTCTTATCCAGGAGGTCATTGATCTTTTCATTGTAGATTTCAATATAACTGCATCTAATCAAGTACCTCTTATCAACCTGGTCTGCCACATGCTGGAATAACTGATTGGATACTAATTGGAAAAGCCCAGGATCTGTTTTATTGCCCAAAATGGTGTGTGTTTTGCCAGAAGATGTTTGGCCATATGCAAATATTGTGGCATTGAAACCTTCCATGAAGGAATCGACTAAAGGTTTTACTACAGATCCATATACATCTGAATTTGTACATTCCTGCTTAAATACATGGTCGAATATATAAACCTCTCCATGGCGACTACTTTCATCGGCTTCCCATATGCAGTTTACTCTTACGTTCCAAAGACGCTCTAGACCATCGGCTACTTCGCGGTGGATCATTGGTCTGATCTTTGTGGCTACTTTAATATTGTCGGAAGTCATTTTGGAAGCTTGAACTGAAATTTAATTAGAACTAGGGCTATTTCACGGGTTATAAAGAGGGGCACTTTTCATAATCCAGATTTCGTTTTGGCATTCCAGTTCAGCCATTTGATCCTGAAGCTCTTTTATAGTAGAATCATTATGGCATCGTATATCTGAGATTTTAAATGAGTGGTTGACCTCACGTTGGTTACTCTCGTCCATCAGACTCTTTACGTCATTTCTCAGTTTAGATTCAAGTTCTTTTAGGAAGCCAATTTCATCTTGCAGTTCAGCAATGTGTGACATCGTTACATCAGTTTGTGTAGCAGCACTTAAAGAATCTTGCATATCTTCGTACTCAGCGTCAAGCATAGCTTCTAAGTCTGCAACCTTCTTTTTTGACTCAATATTTTGAGCTTCAAGAGATGGTTTAGGGCTCTCTGATCTTCCTAGGTTCTTCAGTTGAGTACGCAGCATCTCTATTTCTGACTCGTATGTTTTTAGTCTTTTTATTATTTTTTTCCAGAAAATCGAGTCTGTATTGCAAGTCGATGAAATTCTTGCGCTTTTTGAGAATTTTTTTGAACTCTTTCTATTTCTTCGTTGTACGCATCCGTTACTTGGCGGAGTTCCTGACTGTAACGATCGATTTTAGAATTGGCTTCTGTGAGCTGTTTCTTCAGGTCCAAAATCTCCAGCTGATTATCTAGTTTAGTGAATTCTCTAAGCTCATTGAAAGATTCTTCCAGTTCTTTGCGTTGTCTTTTAAGTACACTTGCACGTCTTCAGCTATCACAGATTCTGCTTCGGCTAGTGCCTCCTCATATGTCTCTTCTTGAATAGGCCTCATTTCACGTCCGGATGATTCTTCTTTGGGTGGATAATTTTTCAATGGCATATACCCTAGGGATGCTTTTTTAGGTGATACGTTGCCATAGTGTCCAAAAGTATGACGTCTTAATGTTTTTTTCGGTGTTGATGCCGAGGCTCCCATTTGAAAGCGCCCGACAATAGATACTTCCGTTTTTAGTCTTTCTATCTCGAGCAGATACTCTTGTTTGCTTTTATCCATCTCTTTTAGCTTAATTGCCTGCTTTTTGAGCCGAGTTTCGAGATCGCGAGTCAAGTTCTGATATCCTTGAAGTGTCTCTTCTGTAGCTGACAAGATGTTTACTTTCGTTTTATTTTTGACAGTTTTAGTGCTTTGGGCGAATTCTGGTGTAGATCTAGTCTCCTCCTCTGCAGCTAAAGTAACATTCCCGATAATCAATGATTTGGCATTACCGCCAAGAGCCTGTGAGAGCAGTCTAGTCAATTTCGAATCGCGATAACTGATAAACTCCTTCCCCTCGCTTAGTTGCCTTATCACATTTCCTAATACTGACAAAGATTTGTTTATGTTAGCCCCCTCTTTAAGACGCTCACCAGCAGCTTTCGTCAGAGAAACTCTCTCAGAACCAGCTAAGTCCATTAAGTTAAGGTAGCTTATATGTACAGGTCCATCTTTCTGATTGGCATCTTTCGACTCCAGAATAATCCGGAAAATCGTGTGTGATCGAGATGACCTCTCATTCATGCGAGTAGCTGCAACTCGTCTGATCTTATTGCCCTGCATCATGTTCTCCATAACTTTATCAACATTGTCTACGACAGCTTCCCTTGCATCAAGCAGCACATTTCCTTTGATATCTTCTCATAGTTAAACCCTGATTGCTCTTATCCAGGAGGTCATTGATCTTTTCATTGTAGATTTCAATATAACTGCATCTAATCAAGTACCTCTTATCAACCTGGTCTGCCACATGCTGGAATAACTGATTGGATACTAATTGGAAAAGCCCAGGATCTGTTTTATTGCCCAAAATGGTGTGTGTTTTGCCAGAAGATGTTTGGCCATATGCAAATATTGTGGCATTGAAACCTTCCATGAAGGAATCGACTAAAGGTTTTACTACAGATCCATATACATCTGAATTTGTACATTCCTGATTAAATACATGGTCGAATATATAAACCTCTCCATGGCGACTACTTTCATCGGCTTCCCATATGCAGTTTACTCTTACGTTCCAAAGACGCTCTAGACCATCGGCTACTTCGCGGTGGATCATTGGTCTGATCTTTGTGGCTACTTTAATATTGTTGGAAGTCATTTTGGAAGCTTGAACTGAAATTTAATTAGAACTAGGGCTATTTCACGGGTTATAAAGAGGGGCAGATGTATCAGGTTGATACATTCTTTTTTTCCTCCTTTCCAGTATAGAAGATTTTTTCTCTTGTAGGCTATGAATGCGGTCCGATAGTTTAGTAGAGCTACATTTACAGGGTGACTCAAAATCAAAGAAGAAACAGAATTGTTAAATTTCATATAGACTGTTATTGTTATTACAAAAAGAAGTTGAAGCAGCAGCAAATTCTCACAAATCTATAGATCCATCACTTTCAGCACCCGATTTTTCAACTTGAAAAATGCAGCTCGGTGAAGAATCACAAGGTAACTGTTGTCTATTCAGACAATACTCTTCTAAAAGCAACGCGAAGTTACCTAGTGCCTTACATGAATCGCCTTCATAATTCTTCATTATTGTCAATGGAAAACTGAAATTGTTGATTATTACAGTTTTTAATGCTTCAAATAAACAGATGGTGTTCGTGTTGGAAATCCCACGTCTAATCTCGCAAAACAGGTTATCCACCGGATCTTACTATCAACATCTGAAATGCCATTACTGTTTTTAGCCATGTGTACAACAGGTTTGTACGCATAAGACACTCTTACATGAAAACTGTTTATTGTCTAAAAACGAAAATACCCCATTGAAGATGAGTAATGCAATAAATATAATCCTCGAAACTTGAACTGTAATATGAACATAAAAAAACTAACAAAATGGGCCATTTAACAACATATTTGGTGTTGATATTCTACAACAAAAACAAATACTTTCTCGTATAAGGAAACATACAATAATTAACATTTATCACTTTTCACGAAACAATGTAAGTGCGCTGTGACTTTACATACTTATTACAGATTGTAGAACATTTTTTTCATTGTGTATTGTCATGTAACACCTACGTCGTTTTTTTTCTTTAACAACTGCATCAGGATCGAGAACTCTGGGCTGAGAAGTAGACGGCTTACTTTATTCGTCGTTGGTAATTTAGGATTCTTTGCATGGCTGAACGAAGCTCCCTAGGAAGTCTTGGATCTGATAAACGTCCTCTCATACGAAGTTAAATTAGAGTTTGCCTCAGGGGAACAATAAAATTTCGTCGCCTAATGGAACTTTCAGTCCCAGACTGAAAAAAAAAGGAATTTACAGAAGCTGGTTGGATACCAAATAGCACAAGGCCATCTTCTCGTTCTCTAACCAGTATTGTAATTTACACACTTCCGATCTAATGCATTACCCCCCGCCTTCATAGTGTTATAAAAATAATATAGGATCTTATCAGGTTTCTTTGATTCCTCTACTATTTTGTTATCATGCTGCATAGATTGCTATACGAGAACATGTGTATTTGGTTTTGGAAGATACTACTCTAAGGCTGTACAACATAAACTTAGAAGTACCTGGCTGTGTTTCCTTCTTATTTGGAACTACATGTTGGGGTACTTGTTACTTATTTTTACGCTTCCTGCCGACATAGGTCAGTTGGTTGATGCGCAATTCTACATGTAATTCTACTGACGTGAACCAGTCATCTGCTGTGATATTTCTGTTCGTATAGACGAAAGCATTGAGCAGGTAGTGGTGAGTCTTTGCATCATCAGTCCATACTTATTCGGTTTAGTTTTCTTGTAGGCACAGGAAGGACATCGGCCCACGAGCATCTCGTATTTTGTAGGGGACTCACCCGAAATATAACAATTTCGACAGTTCTCTATGAGTGTCTCGAAAATTTCACGTATTTGGAGAAATTTATCGGCATTTCTCGAGTCACAGGGTTATTATTTTCCAAATTGGTTGCCACGGACTTTAGTTCAGGTAAATGCGTAATAATCGACCAGTTGCAGGCGCTCGTTTTGACCAATTGTACATGTTTTTTCCATAGGCATAGCGAGGTCGCCCATAGGAAGTTGTTCAGGTTGATCGATAGCAGCGTCGTCCTCGGCGTAGTCTATAGTGTATTGTTCATCCGTCAACAACGAAAAAATCCATTGTGAAGGAAGTTCAAATCGTACACGCAACTGACATCCTCGGATCAAATTTGACCGCAAAGTCAACAAACCAACAATTGTGATGTTTAAATTAAACTGTGGTTTGAGGTATACGTGCTCATACCGTATGAGAAGTCACGGGACCCCCACCACATAACTGAGAAAGCTCGAATCATCCGACGATATCATTAAAGGATTAATTTCTATATTCTTGAACGAATCTATAAAATCAAAGTGGCTGGGTTTCAATTTACATAGCTCTTTGTATGGTCTTGTTTGCTGATCAACATTATATGATTTCTAGACATGTTCAATCTGTGCAGCTTCTTCACTTTCATATTAATGTCAATAAGAGCATTTCATCCATTTTTGAATAAATGTGGTTCATCACAAATTGTAGAAATACTCTGAGCATTGACTATAAAATGGAATGGACTTGATCCGTGAGTATTCTCCGAGCAAATCGTCTCAAGTGCGTTTTTGATCGTTGCGCCCTGATTAGAAATAGTGCCAACAACGCACAAACCAAGTCGCTGCTAGTTTGTGATCACATGAACAATAATCGTTTTCAGATCTGGGATTCTTGTATCTTTTACTAGATAATAAGCCACAACCTGCTTATAATTTTTACGAATCCCTCTTATCATGGAAGTAAGGGCATGATTTCTGATAAATCACTTTTTCAGAGTTCTAGTTGATTTTGTTACCTCAGAATTCAAGATTTATTAGCTGAAAATTGTACACTGTGAGCACTGGGATCAGCCCTAAACTTTGTCCAAACCCTGCAATAATCGTAAACACTAAACAAGGGTAGACATATTTCTAGTTTAACTGCCTGAAGATTTTCTCTATGGTTTATACGTAACTCTCCACCTATTATCTCATTTTGTACATGTTCTGGGAGAACTCAACTTGCTCCCTATAAAATGCAACGTCTTCCTGCACAGGTGGTTCTGGTTAAGTGCCAGCCTGCTTCGGGTTTGTAATTAGTTGTTGCAATTTTCTGATTTCGTCGTCCTTTTTCATAATCCAGATTTCGTTTTGGCATTCCAGTTCAGCCATTTGATCCTGAAGCTCTTTTATAGTAGAATCATTATGGCATCGTATATCTGAGATTTTAAATGAGTGGTTGACCTCACGTTGGTTACTCTCGTCCATCAGACTCTTTACGTCATTTCTCAGTTTAGATTCAAGTTCTTTTAGGAAGCCAATTTCATCTTGCAGTTCAGCAATGTGTGACATCGTTACATCAGTTTGTGCAGCAGCACTTAAAGAATGTTGCATATCTTCGTACTCAGCGTCAAGCATAGCTTCTAAGTCTGCAACCTTCTTTTTTGACTCAATATTTTGAGCTTCAAGAGATGGTTTAGGGCTCTCTGATCTTCCTAGGTTCTTCAGTTGAGTACGCAGCATCTCTATTTCTGACTCGTATGTTTTTAGTCTTTTTATTATTTTTTTCCAGAAAATCGAGTCTGTATTGCAAGTCGATGAAATTCTTGCGCTTTTTGAGAATTTTTTTGAACTCTTTCTATTTCTTCGTTGTACGCATCCGTTACTTGGCGGAGTTCCTGACTGTAACGATCGAATTTAGAATTGGCTTCTGTGAGCTGTTTCTTCAGGTCCAAAATCTCCAGCTGATTATCTAGTTTAGTGAATTCTCTAAGCTCATTGAAAGATTCTTCCAGTTCTTTGAGTTGTCTTTTAAGTACACTTGCACGTCTTCAGCTATCACAGATTCTGCTTCGGCTAGTGCCTCCTCATATGTCTCTTCTTGAATAGGCCTCATTTCACGTCCGGATGATTCTTCTTTGGGTGGATAATTTTTCAATGGCATATACCCTAGGGATGCTTTTTTAGGTGATACGTTGCCATAGTGTCCAAAAGTATGACGTCTTAATGTTTTTTTCGGTGTTGATGCCGAGGCTCCCATTTGAAAGCGCCCGACAATAGATACTTCCGTTTTTAGTCTTTCTATCTCGAGCAGATACTCTTGTTTGCTTTTATCCATCTCTTTTAGCTTAATTGCCTGCTTTTTGAGCCGAGTTTCGAGATCGCGAGTCAAGTTCTGATATCCTTGAAGTGTCTCTTCTGTAGCTGACAAGATGTTTACTTTCGTTTTATTTTTGACAGTTTTAGTGCTTTGGGCGAATTCTGGTGTAGATCTAGTCTCCTCCTCTGCAGCTAAAGTAACATTCCCGATAATCAATGATTTGGCATTACCGCCAAGAGCCTGTGAGAGCAGTCTAGTCAATTTCGAATCGCGATAACTGATAAACTCCTTCCCCTCGCTTAGTTGCCTTATCACATTTCCTAATACTGACAAAGATTTGTTTATGTTAGCCCCCTCTTTAAGACGCTCACCAGCAGCTTTCGTCAGAGAAACTCTCTCAGAACCAGCTAAGTCCATTAAGTTAAGGTAGCTTATATGTACAGGTCCATCTTTCTGATTGGCATCTTTCGACTCCAGAATAATCCGGAAAATCGTGTGTGATCGAGATGACCTCTCATTCATGCGAGTAGCTGCAACTCGTCTGATCTTATTGCCCTGCATCATGTTCTCCATAACTTTATCAACATTGTCTACGACAGCTTCCCTTGCATCAAGCAGCACATTTCCTTTGATATCTTCTCTTATAGTTAAACCCTGATTGCTCTTATCCAGGAGGTCATTGATCTTTTCATTGTAGATTTCAATATAACTGCATCTAATCAAGTACCTCTTATCAACCTGGTCTGCCACATGCTGGAATAACTGATTGGATACTAATTGGAAAAGCCCAGGATCTGTTTTATTGCCCAAAATGGTGTGTGTTTTGCCAGAAGATGTTTGGCCATATGCAAATATTGTGGCATTGAAACCTTCCATGAAGGAATCGACTAAAGGTTTTACTACAGATCCATATACATCTGAATTTGTACATTCCTGCTTAAATACATGGTCGAATATATAAACCTCTCCATGGCGACTACTTTCATCGGCTTCCCATATGCAGTTTACTCTTACGTTCCAAAGACGCTCTAGACCATCGGCTACTTCGCGGTGGATCATTGGTCTGATCTTTGTGGCTACTTTAATATTGTCGGAAGTCATTTTGGAAGCTTGAACTGAAATTTAATTAGAACTAGGGCTATTTCACGGGTTATAAAGAGGGGCACTTTTCATAATCCAGATTTCGTTTTGGCATTCCAGTTCAGCCATTTGATCCTGAAGCTCTTTTATAGTAGAATCATTATGGCATCGTATATCTGAGATTTTAAATGAGTGGTTGACCTCACGTTGGTTACTCTCGTCCATCAGACTCTTTACGTCATTTCTCAGTTTAGATTCAAGTTCTTTTAGGAAGCCAATTTCATCTTGCAGTTCAGCAATGTGTGACATCGTTACATCAGTTTGTGTAGCAGCACTTAAAGAATCTTGCATATCTTCGTACTCAGCGTCAAGCATAGCTTCTAAGTCTGCAACCTTCTTTTTTGACTCAATATTTTGAGCTTCAAGAGATGGTTTAGGGCTCTCTGATCTTCCTAGGTTCTTCAGTTGAGTACGCAGCATCTCTATTTCTGACTCGTATGTTTTTAGTCTTTTTATTATTTTTTTCCAGAAAATCGAGTCTGTATTGCAAGTCGATGAAATTCTTGCGCTTTTTGAGAATTTTTTTGAACTCTTTCTATTTCTTCGTTGTACGCATCCGTTACTTGGCGGAGTTCCTGACTGTAACGATCGATTTTAGAATTGGCTTCTGTGAGCTGTTTCTTCAGGTCCAAAATCTCCAGCTGATTATCTAGTTTAGTGAATTCTCTAAGCTCATTGAAAGATTCTTCCAGTTCTTTGCGTTGTCTTTTAAGTACACTTGCACGTCTTCAGCTATCACAGATTCTGCTTCGGCTAGTGCCTCCTCATATGTCTCTTCTTGAATAGGCCTCATTTCACGTCCGGATGATTCTTCTTTGGGTGGATAATTTTTCAATGGCATATACCCTAGGGATGCTTTTTTAGGTGATACGTTGCCATAGTGTCCAAAAGTATGACGTCTTAATGTTTTTTTCGGTGTTGATGCCGAGGCTCCCATTTGAAAGCGCCCGACAATAGATACTTCCGTTTTTAGTCTTTCTATCTCGAGCAGATACTCTTGTTTGCTTTTATCCATCTCTTTTAGCTTAATTGCCTGCTTTTTGAGCCGAGTTTCGAGATCGCGAGTCAAGTTCTGATATCCTTGAAGTGTCTCTTCTGTAGCTGACAAGATGTTTACTTTCGTTTTATTTTTGACAGTTTTAGTGCTTTGGGCGAATTCTGGTGTAGATCTAGTCTCCTCCTCTGCAGCTAAAGTAACATTCCCGATAATCAATGATTTGGCATTACCGCCAAGAGCCTGTGAGAGCAGTCTAGTCAATTTCGAATCGCGATAACTGATAAACTCCTTCCCCTCGCTTAGTTGCCTTATCACATTTCCTAATACTGACAAAGATTTGTTTATGTTAGCCCCCTCTTTAAGACGCTCACCAGCAGCTTTCGTCAGAGAAACTCTCTCAGAACCAGCTAAGTCCATTAAGTTAAGGTAGCTTATATGTACAGGTCCATCTTTCTGATTGGCATCTTTCGACTCCAGAATAATCCGGAAAATCGTGTGTGATCGAGATGACCTCTCATTCATGCGAGTAGCTGCAACTCGTCTGATCTTATTGCCCTGCATCATGTTCTCCATAACTTTATCAACATTGTCTACGACAGCTTCCCTTGCATCAAGCAGCACATTTCCTTTGATATCTTCTCTTATAGTTAAACCCTGATTGCTCTTATCCAGGAGGTCATTGATCTTTTCATTGTAGATTTCAATATAACTGCATCTAATCAAGTACCTCTTATCAACCTGGTCTGCCACATGCTGGAATAACTGATTGGATACTAATTGGAAAAGCCCAGGATCTGTTTTATTGCCCAAAATGGTGTGTGTTTTGCCAGAAGATGTTTGGCCATATGCAAATATTGTGGCATTGAAACCTTCCATGAAGGAATCGACTAAAGGTTTTACTACAGATCCATATACATCTGAATTTGTACATTCCTGCTTAAATACATGGTCGAATATATAAACCTCTCCATGGCGACTACTTTCATCGGCTTCCCATATGCAGTTTACTCTTACGTTCCAAAGACGCTCTAGACCATCGGCTACTTCGCGGTGGATCATTGGTCTGATCTTTGTGGCTACTTTAATATTGTCGGAAGTCATTTTGGAAGCTTGAACTGAAATTTAATTAGAACTAGGGCTATTTCACGGGTTATAAAGAGGGGCACTTTTCATAATCCAGATTTCGTTTTGGCATTCCAGTTCAGCCATTTGATCCTGAAGCTCTTTTATAGTAGAATCATTATGGCATCGTATATCTGAGATTTTAAATGAGTGGTTGACCTCACGTTGGTTACTCTCGTCCATCAGACTCTTTACGTCATTTCTCAGTTTAGATTCAAGTTCTTTTAGGAAGCCAATTTCATCTTGCAGTTCAGCAATGTGTGACATCGTTACATCAGTTTGTGTAGCAGCACTTAAAGAATCTTGCATATCTTCGTACTCAGCGTCAAGCATAGCTTCTAAGTCTGCAACCTTCTTTTTTGACTCAATATTTTGAGCTTCAAGAGATGGTTTAGGGCTCTCTGATCTTCCTAGGTTCTTCAGTTGAGTACGCAGCATCTCTATTTCTGACTCGTATGTTTTTAGTCTTTTTATTATTTTTTTCCAGAAAATCGAGTCTGTATTGCAAGTCGATGAAATTCTTGCGCTTTTTGAGAATTTTTTTGAACTCTTTCTATTTCTTCGTTGTACGCATCCGTTACTTGGCGGAGTTCCTGACTGTAACGATCGATTTTAGAATTGGCTTCTGTGAGCTGTTTCTTCAGGTCCAAAATCTCCAGCTGATTATCTAGTTTAGTGAATTCTCTAAGCTCATTGAAAGATTCTTCCAGTTCTTTGCGTTGTCTTTTAAGTACACTTGCACGTCTTCAGCTATCACAGATTCTGCTTCGGCTAGTGCCTCCTCATATGTCTCTTCTTGAATAGGCCTCATTTCACGTCCGGATGATTCTTCTTTGGGTGGATAATTTTTCAATGGCATATACCCTAGGGATGCTTTTTTAGGTGATACGTTGCCATAGTGTCCAAAAGTATGACGTCTTAATGTTTTTTTCGGTGTTGATGCCGAGGCTCCCATTTGAAAGCGCCCGACAATAGATACTTCCGTTTTTAGTCTTTCTATCTCGAGCAGATACTCTTGTTTGCTTTTATCCATCTCTTTTAGCTTAATTGCCTGCTTTTTGAGCCGAGTTTCGAGATCGCGAGTCAAGTTCTGATATCCTTGAAGTGTCTCTTCTGTAGCTGACAAGATGTTTACTTTCGTTTTATTTTTGACAGTTTTAGTGCTTTGGGCGAATTCTGGTGTAGATCTAGTCTCCTCCTCTGCAGCTAAAGTAACATTCCCGATAATCAATGATTTGGCATTACCGCCAAGAGCCTGTGAGAGCAGTCTAGTCAATTTCGAATCGCGATAACTGATAAACTCCTTCCCCTCGCTTAGTTGCCTTATCACATTTCCTAATACTGACAAAGATTTGTTTATGTTAGCCCCCTCTTTAAGACGCTCACCAGCAGCTTTCGTCAGAGAAACTCTCTCAGAACCAGCTAAGTCCATTAAGTTAAGGTAGCTTATATGTACAGGTCCATCTTTCTGATTGGCATCTTTCGACTCCAGAATAATCCGGAAAATCGTGTGTGATCGAGATGACCTCTCATTCATGCGAGTAGCTGCAACTCGTCTGATCTTATTGCCCTGCATCATGTTCTCCATAACTTTATCAACATTGTCTACGACAGCTTCCCTTGCATCAAGCAGCACATTTCCTTTGATATCTTCTCATAGTTAAACCCTGATTGCTCTTATCCAGGAGGTCATTGATCTTTTCATTGTAGATTTCAATATAACTGCATCTAATCAAGTACCTCTTATCAACCTGGTCTGCCACATGCTGGAATAACTGATTGGATACTAATTGGAAAAGCCCAGGATCTGTTTTATTGCCCAAAATGGTGTGTGTTTTGCCAGAAGATGTTTGGCCATATGCAAATATGTGGCATTGAAACCTTCCATGAAGGAATCGACTAAAGGTTTTACTACAGATCCATATACATCTGAATTTGTACATTCCTGATTAAATACATGGTCGAATATATAAACCTCTCCATGGCGACTACTTTCATCGGCTTCCCATATGCAGTTTACTCTTACGTTCCAAAGACGCTCTAGACCATCGGCTACTTCGCGGTGGATCATTGGTCTGATCTTTGTGGCTACTTTAATATTGTTGGAAGTCATTTTGGAAGCTTGAACTGAAATTTAATTAGAACTAGGGCTATTTCACGGGTTATAAAGAGGGGCAGATGTATCAGGTTGATACATTCTTTTTTTCCTCCTTTCCAGTATAGAAGATTTTTTTCTCTTGTAGGCTATGAATGCGGTCCGATAGTTTAGTAGAGCTACATTTACAGGGTGACTCAAAATCAAAGAAGAAACAGAATTGTTAAATTTCATATAGACTGTTATTGTTATTACAAAAAGAAGTTGAAGCAGCAGCAAATTCTCACAAATCTATAGATCCATCACTTTCAGCACCCGATTTTTCAACTTGAAAAATGCAGCTCGGTGAAGAATCACAAGGTAACTGTTGTCTATTCAGACAATACTCTTCTAAAAGCAACGCGAAGTTACCTAGTGCCTTACATGAATCGCCTTCATAATTCTTCATTATTGTCAATGGAAAACTGAAATTGTTGATTATTACAGTTTTTAATGCTTCAAATAAACAGATGGTGTTCGTGTTGGAAATCCCACGTCTAATCTCGCAAAACAGGTTATCCACCGGATCTTACTATCAACATCTGAAATGCCATTACTGTTTTTAGCCATGTGTACAACAGGTTTGTACGCATAAGACACTCTTACATGAAAACTGTTTATTGTCTAAAAACGAAAATACCCCATTGAAGATGAGTAATGCAATAAATATAATCCTCGAAACTTGAACTGTAATATGAACATAAAAAAACTAACAAAATGGGCCATTTAACAACATATTTGGTGTTGATATTCTACAACAAAAACAAATACTTTCTCGTATAAGGAAACATACAATAATTAACATTATCACTTTTCACGAAACAATGTAAGTGCGCTGTGACTTTACATACTTATTACAGATTGTAGAACATTTTTTTCATTGTGTATTGTCATGTAACACCTACGTCGTTTTTTTTCTTTAACAACTGCATCAGGATCGAGAACTCTGGGCTGAGAAGTAGACGGCTTACTTTATTCGTCGTTGGTAATTTAGGATTCTTTGCATGGCTGAACGAAGCTCCCTAGGAAGTCTTGGATCTGATAAACGTCCTCTCATACGAAGTTAAATTAGAGTTTGCCTCAGGGGAACAATAAAATTTCGTCGCCTAATGGAACTTTCAGTCCCAGACTGAAAAAAAAAGGAATTTACAGAAGCTGGTTGGATACCAAATAGCACAAGGCCATCTTCTCGTTCTCTAACCAGTATTGTAATTTACACACTTCCGATCTAATGCATTACCCCCCGCCTTCATAGTGTTATAAAAATAATATAGGATCTTATCAGGTTTCTTTGATTCCTCTACTATTTTGTTATCATGCTGCATAGATTGCTATACGAGAACATGTGTATTTGGTTTTGGAAGATACTACTCTAAGGCTGTACAACATAAACTTAGAAGTACCTGGCTGTGTTTCCTTCTTATTTGGAACTACATGTTGGGGTACTTGTTACTTATTTTTACGCTTCCTGCCGACATAGGTCAGTTGGTTGATGCGCAATTCTACATGTAATTCTACTGACGTGAACCAGTCATCTGCTGTGATATTTCTGTTCGTATAGACGAAAGCATTGAGCAGGTAGTGGTGAGTCTTTGCATCATCAGTCCATACTTATTCGGTTTAGTTTTCTTGTAGGCACAGGAAGGACATCGGCCCACGAGCATCTCGTATTTTGTAGGGGACTCACCCGAAATATAACAATTTCGACAGTTCTCTATGAGTGTCTCGAAAATTTCACGTATTTGGAGAAATTTATCGGCATTTCTCGAGTCACAGGGTTATTATTTTCCAAATTGGTTGCCACGGACTTTAGTTCAGGTAAATGCGTAATAATCGACCAGTTGCAGGCGCTCGTTTTGACCAATTGTACATGTTTTTTCCATAGGCATAGCGAGGTCGCCCATAGGAAGTTGTTCAGGTTGATCGATAGCAGCGTCGTCCTCGGCGTAGTCTATAGTGTATTGTTCATCCGTCAACAACGAAAAAATCCATTGTGAAGGAAGTTCAAATCGTACACGCAACTGACATCCTCGGATCAAATTTGACCGCAAAGTCAACAAACCAACAATTGTGATGTTTAAATTAAACTGTGGTTTGAGGTATACGTGCTCATACCGTATGAGAAGTCACGGGACCCCCACCACATAACTGAGAAAGCTCGAATCATCCGACGATATCATTAAAGGATTAATTTCTATATTCTTGAACGAATCTATAAAATCAAAGTGGCTGGGTTTCAATTTACATAGCTCTTTGTATGGTCTTGTTTGCTGATCAACATTATATGATTTCTAGACATGTTCAATCTGTGCAGCTTCTTCACTTTCATATTAATGTCAATAAGAGCATTTCATCCATTTTTGAATAAATGTGGTTCATCACAAATTGTAGAAATACTCTGAGCATTGACTATAAAATGGAATGGACTTGATCCGTGAGTATTCTCCGAGCAAATCGTCTCAAGTGCGTTTTTGATCGTTGCGCCCTGATTAGAAATAGTGCCAACAACGCACAAACCAAGTCGCTGCTAGTTTGTGATCACATGAACAATAATCGTTTTCAGATCTGGGATTCTTGTATCTTTTACTAGATAATAAGCCACAACCTGCTTATAATTTTACGAATCCCTCTTATCATGGAAGTAAGGGCATGATTTCTGATAAATCACTTTTTCAGAGTTCTAGTTGATTTTGTTACCTCAGAATTCAAGATTTATTAGCTGAAAATTGTACACTGTGAGCACTGGGATCAGCCCTAAACTTTGTCCAAACCCTGCAATAATCGTAAACACTAAACAAGGGTAGACATATTTCTAGTTTAACTGCCTGAAGATTTTCTCTATGGTTTATACGTAACTCTCCACCTATTATCTCATTTTTGTACATGTTCTGGGAGAACTCAACTTGCTCCCTATAAAATGCAACGTCTTCCTGCACAGGTGGTTCTGGTTAAGTGCCAGCCTGCTTCGGGTTTGTAATTAGTTGTTGCAATTTTCTGATTTCGTCGTCCTTTTTCATAATCCAGATTTCGTTTTGGCATTCCAGTTCAGCCATTTGATCCTGAAGCTCTTTTATAGTAGAATCATTATGGCATCGTATATCTGAGATTTTAAATGAGTGGTTGACCTCACGTTGGTTACTCTCGTCCATCAGACTCTTTACGTCATTTCTCAGTTTAGATTCAAGTTCTTTTAGGAAGCCAATTTCATCTTGCAGTTCAGCAATGTGTGACATCGTTACATCAGTTTGTGCAGCAAGCACTTAAAGACTGTTGCATATCTTCGTACTCAGCGTCAAGCATAGCTTCTAAGTCTGCAACCTTCTTTTTGACTCAATATTTTGAGCTTCAAGAGATGGTTTAGGGCTCTCTGATCTTCTAGGTTCTTCAGTTGAGTACGCAGCATCTCTATTTCTGACTCGTATGTTTTTAGTCTTTTTATTATTTTTTCCAGAAAATCGAGTCTGTATTGCAAGTCGATGAAATTCTTGCGCTTTTTGAGAATTTTTTTGAACTCTTTCTATTTCTTCGTGTACGCATCCGTTACTTGGCGGAGTTCCTGACTGTAACGATCGAATTTAGAATTGGCTTCTGTGAGCTGTTTCTTTCAGGTCCAAAATCTCCAGCTGATTATCTAGTTTAGTGAATTCTATGAGCTCATTGAAAGATTCTTCAGTTCTTTGAGTTGTCTTTTAAGTACACTTGCACGTCTTCAGCTATCACAGATTCTGCTTCGGCTAGTGCTCCTCATATGTCTCTTCTTGAATAGGCCTCATTTCACGTCCGGATGATTCTTCTTTGGGTGGATAATTTTTCAATGGCATATACCCTAGGGATGCTTTTTTTAGGTGATACGTTGCCATAGTGTCCAAAAGTATGACGTCTTAATGTTTTTTTCGGTGTTGATGCCGAGGCTCCCATTTGAAAGCGCCCGACAATAGATACTTCCGTTTTTAGTCTTTCTATCTCGAGCAGATACTCTTGTTTGCTTTTATCCATCTCTTTTAGCTTAATTGCCTGCTTTTTGAGCCGAGTTTCGAGATCGCGAGTCAAGTTCTGATATCCTTGAAGTGTCTCTTCTGTAGCTGACAAGATGTTTACTTTCGTTTTATTTTTGACAGTTTTAGTGCTTTGGGCGAATTCTGGTGTAGATCTAGTCTCCTCCTCTGCAGCTAAAGTAACATTCCCGATAATCAATGATTTGGCATTACCGCCAAGAGCCTGTGAGAGCAGTCTAGTCAATTTCGAATCGCGATAACTGATAAACTCCTTCCCCTCGCTTAGTTGCCTTATCACATTTCCTAATACTGACAAAGATTTGTTTATGTTAGCCCCCTCTTTAAGACGCTCACCAGCAGCTTTCGTCAGAGAAACTCTCTCAGAACCAGCTAAGTCCATTAAGTTAAGGTAGCTTATATGTACAGGTCCATCTTTCTGATTGGCATCTTTCGACTCCAGAATAATCCGGAAAATCGTGTGTGATCGAGATGACCTCTCATTCATGCGAGTAGCTGCAACTCGTCTGATCTTATTGCCCTGCATCATGTTCTCCATAACTTTATCAACATTGTCTACGACAGCTTCCCTTGCATCAAGCAGCACATTTCCTT